GGAGTAAAGTAAGGAGTGGGATGAGGGAGGCTCCCTTGAGGGCTGAGATGCCTCAGTTTCAGATTTTGCCCGGGCCCCCCAAAAAACCTCTGTGTGGCTCTGCAGCTAAGGGACTGAAAGGACCTGTGCCGTTACCAACAAGACTGCTACAGACACTGTCAGCGCTAAAATCAACTTCAGAACTGTTACAAACACCAGCATCATCAGAGCTGCCAATCAGAAGCAGCACTTGGCTGGAGCCACCACCGAATCAGCCTAGCCCCAGAGTCCATCATGTTAGTGGCAGCGTCTTGAGAGAAATAAGCCAGGTAAGCACAGGATTGAGAGAAAAAGCAATTGACTAATAGTTTTAAAAGTTTTCTCAAAATCCATGTTATTTCAAAAATGGATGTGCTGCCTTGGAGGAGTTAAAATATCTAACACGGGGATGTAAGAATAGGTATCACATCACTAGCATGGGAGTGATTATACAGACTAGATGGTATAATGTCAACATGGGAGTGACTGTGCTTATGTCAATTATAAACTAAGGACTCAGTCCAAAGTCCACTGAGGTCAGTGGAAACACCCTCATTGATTTCAATGGGCTTTGAATCAAGTGCTTCCTGAAGCTTCAAGTAGATTCTGTGAACTTGTGGTGTTAAGAAAAAGTGCTGTGCCTTCTGTTCAGGTGATCTGACTCCTGAGTGCGTTCTAAACATTACAGCTGAAGGTTAGTAATATTGAGCTCAGAAGGAGAGTCTTTGAATGCCACTCAGTGTTTATATTGGCCTGGACCCAAAAAAGCACTTGGAGAAGCAAAAGTTTCCAGTTAAAGAAGGTGGGGCTCTGCAAGGGAAGGAACTGTTATTTCCTGTACTTGGAGCAAGGGTTGCAGCCAAATTCAAAAGATGAGGCCAGACAGATAGATAGATACTGGGATTCTTGGTGAACAAAGGGCACAAGTGTGGCAACAGTGAGACCCTCCCACTCTTTTCCAGCACCCCTATAGTCTCATCATTTACCTAGGGACAAGCCAGACATTGGTGAGAGCATAGGCTAAAAGGCCAGGCTTTTCTGTACCACAGTGAGGTGTGAAGCCTGTGGTCAGGAACTCTCCCAAGTTTCCTCCTGGTTTGGAGGGGGCTGAGGTGACAATTTTTCTGCAGCCCAGCTGAGATTGGGAAAAGGGTGTGGAATCAAATATGTGCTATGGGGACAGTGAAGAAGGGCTATTGTCCACAACAGTGGGGAAGGTCAGGTCTCTTCTTCTGGGACAGTTGAGAAGGGCAATTTCTATCCTGCCGAAAGCTGGGACTGTTTCAGAGTTTGTCTTTTTTATGCAGGTTGATATTTACAACATCAAAACACCTATAGCTGTTCAAGGCATAACCATTGCTTCCCAAAGGGCAGAATCAACAACTCCTTCTGACCCCTAGAGCTAGATCTGCCTGTCCAGCTGAGCTGTGTTCAGTGCAGGGCCAGAGGCAATTAGGGTCAGAGGCTAGGTAAGCCAGCTTTATATCTACTCCCTAATCCTGAGGCCTGGTCTGGTCCAGAGTGCTAGCTGCCTCAAGAGACCATTCTTGCAGCTGATAGTATTGGGGGGACATGGGGCTACCCCAGTCACACCCTCTTTCACCCAAGAGCCTAGCAGGGGGCAGGAAGTGTGGGGTTAGAGTTATATGAAACCTGGGAATTATCTCCACTAGATTTTATCAGCCAGGTGGAACATGGGTCTAATTTGCATGTAGTATCCTAAACTGCACAAGCCTCTCCAAAACTCCACTGCACAAAAGGAGGCCGAAACTCAAACAGAGAAGATCTCGCATTTGTCTCCTCCAAGACCCAGACACACTGAAAGCCTAGTCTATGGCTGAGTGATCTTATTCCCCACAGTAAACTGTGGCGAGATAAAGTTGACTCTGCTAAAGCATGCAAGCAGCAAGGTTCCATCAAGCCATTCATCACCCTGAGCATTTCCACTGTAGCTTATTGAGAATGTAATGGCTGCCTCAGTTCTCTTGCTGTGGCTGCTGTAGGCTAGTAGGGTGACTTGTGCGTTGGCCCTTCACACGAAGCAGAAGTCCTCCTCTTCTGGCACAAAGGCCAATCAAAAACAGGCCTTGCACAAACATGGCCTTCGTTCCTCATTTGAAGGGCCTCAGTAGTCTCTCCCACCTCAGGAGAGAGGTTCTTCTTTTCCCCTTGGAACATGGATCAAACCGTCACATTCTCCAGGCCACAGTGTCACTTTTTCCACACCAGTCTAGGTGACACCATAAACAAGCCCAGGCCCTCCCTCTACTCTCGGCTCTGGCACTATCCTGAACAGTAGCTGTCTAGGGTTGCCAACTTTCTAATCGCACAAAACTGAACACCATTGCCCCACCCCCTACCCTGCCCCTTCTCCGAGACCCCATACCGCGTTCACTCAATCCCCCCTCCCTCTGTTGCTCGCTCTCCCCCACCCTTACTCTCTCGCTCATTTTCACCGGGCTGGGGCAGGGGGTTGGGGTGCGGGAGGGGGTGAGGGCTCCAGCTGGGGATGTGGGCTCCGGGGTGGGGCCAGAAATGAGGGGTTCAGGGTGTGGGAGGGGGCTCTGGGCTGGGGCAGGTGGTTGGGGTGCAGGCTCTGGGGTGGGCCAGGGATGAGGGGTTTGGGGTGTAGGAGGGGGCCTCAGGGCTGGAGCAGGGAGTTGGGGTTCAGGAGGGGGTGCAAGGTGTGGGCTCTGGGAGGGAGTTTGGATGCAGGAGGGGGCTCAGGAAGAGGTGTGGGATGCAGGCTGTGGGAGGGAGTTTGGGTGCAGGAAGGGGCTCAAGGCTAGGGAAGGAGGTTGGGGTGCAGGAGGGGGCAAGGGGTGTGGGCTCCAGGCTGCGCTCACCTCGGGCGACTCACCACAAGCAGTGATACATCCCTCAGCTCTGTGTGCTGCCTCTGCCCACAGGCCATGGGCACTGCCACTGACCTGCCTCTGGCCCCGGCCCTTCCCTGAGACCCCCACCGCCTCCTCCACTCCACCGTCCCCACTGCTCGCCGCATCCCTCCTCCTCAGGATGTGGGAAGTGAGGAAAGATGTGGACAGCCAGCGGACTGAGGAGGCTCGGCTGGACACTGGGGCTGGCAGCTCGGCCGGGGGACAGGGTCTTCAGGGGCAGGAGGAGCTAGTGCTAGGGGGCCGGCAGGTCAAGGGGGCTGGCAGCAGCGGCTCGGCCCAATGTGGCTGAGGTGGGTGGGCCGGGGCTCCTCCCATCGCGGATGCCCCTCGGAGTCAGGGCTTCTTCTTTTATGGGGCAGGAGGGGGGTTTTGGGGTTCTGGTGTGTATGTGGGGGTGTTGGGTGGAAGGGGCAGGGCCAGCAGGCTAGCCTCCTCAAAGCCATGGTTCACCTGCTACCCATGCCGCAGGCGCTGCCCCTGCAGCTCCCATTGGCCGTGGTTCCTGGCTAAAGGGAACTGCAGAGCTGGCACTTGGGGTGGGGGCAGTGCACAGAGCCCCCCTGCCCACGCCTCTGTCTAAGAGCCGGAGGGACATGTCGCCGCTTGCAGGAGCCGGGTAGGGAGCCTGCCTGCCCCAATCCAACTGGACTTTTAACAGTCAGCAGTGCTTTTTGGGCGTTGAAAACCAGACACCTGCACCCCTATAACTGTCCCTCTCAAACTATCAGTCTTGCTTCACAGGCAGAGATGGGGAAGAGGTGAGGTAGTTTCCCACAAAGCCCTCATTTGAGGGGCCCCTAAAACCATGAAATTTGAGTACATGGCGTTGCAACCTGATGCACAGAGCTACACATGTGCCACACAAATTTGGCCTGGACAACCCTTCATTTACCTGAGTGGCTCTGTGAACCAGTGTGCCCGGTCACAACACCTGGAGCGGGGAGCAGAGTCCAGCCCCATGGGACGGGAGCCGCTACTGCGGGGTGAGTGCAGTGCAGGTTTGCACTCCATCCTCCCCCCAGGGCTTTCTTATCTCCCCGGCAATTGTTTGGAAGGGCAGAGGGCTCAGTTTCAGGGCCCGAGCAACCTCTGTGAAGCCCTAGTCATGGGAATGCGTCTCACAATGCTTGTCTCTCTTTAAGGCCTTGTCCCTAGCAGTCCTCCATCAAGGCCCTCCCAGGTTCTGTTGCTGCTTCCCTCTGTTCAAGAACTCATTGGCAGCCTCATGTCAGACTCCTGGTCTCTGAAGAGCTCAGCTGACCCACTGCGTTCCCTAGGCCCCTGCCACAGGCCTCTTCCATAGATCTTTGTTCCATACCACAGACTGTTCGTTCACAGGGACTTCCTGAGTCGCCAAATCTAGTCCCCTACAATCACAGGCAACCTCATCATATAATCTTGTTCTGAAATTTATCAAGCTCCATTTTAGCCTCTTGTGCTTCTCCTTGCAGGCCTTGCTTCCAGCCTGTAGTTATATGACCCTCTGGAAATTACAATTTTCATGATCCAGAAGGAAAACCAGGTATAGGTGGAGGCTCGGTTTCAGCTTGAGTCCTAGGTCCCCTTAAGGGCCCAGCCCATCCTGTGGAGAAGACAGCAGAAGTAACAATCCAGCAACCTGCCAAATGTTAGCATGGGAAATTCTCTCTTTTGGGAGTTCGAATGACTGGAGAAGTTGTAAATAAATGAATATCTCCTGAGCCTTCCGAATATGATGGATCCTGAGCTGGATACTAAAATGTTAAGTCTGAAAATTTGCAGTGTTATGTTAAGGAACTACTCCCTGATCCACACAGATATTTATGTTCCTAGGAGCCTAAAGACTTTCATTGATCTCCTCCTACTCCCTTGCTACAGTCCATCACCAGACTCATGGTAGAATACTTACTGAACTATTCCCAGTGCTGTTTACTACTTTTTAGCATGTGGTTTATTTGCTAACTCTTCTGTAAAGATAAGGAAGTGTAGGGCTCAAGATCAGAGGTGACGTGATTGGGGGTAACGCCCTTGGTTTCAGTAAAGTTATACATTAACTCTAAATCTGACCTGGACTCTTTTATGCTTCTAATGTGGTTTAGCTAACTCACACTTAAGAGCAAGTTCAATGAACAGAAATGTAACATGTTGTTCTAACAGGGGAAGAGCTGATCAGGTAGGTCATAAGCCATTTGTAGGTCTTTGGAATATGTTGCTTTCCATTAAACAATTTCCAGTTGTGCTGCCCCAATTCCCCTCTCTCTCCACTGTCTGAGGATTAGATTTACACTAATGATTTCTCACCCTTTTATCAGGAAGGCGGGGTTGTTGTGTTTGATTTTATGTTAAATATAGAATTGCAAGTAGTTTGGAATTAGGGCGACCAGATGTCCCAATTTTATAGGGACAGTCCCGATTTTTGGTTCTTTTTCTTATATAGGCTCCTATTACCCCCCACACCCTGTCCCGATTTTTCACACTTGCTGTCTGATCACCCTATTTGGAATGAGATGATTCTTGTTATCATGTGAAGCGAATCCTGCTCTGATTTGGTAGTTTTGTAAAGGACCAAAATGCATAAGCAGAAAATAAGGAAAGTGCCAGACATGTTAGGCAGTTTCCCACCCCTCCCTCTCACTTCTTCCTAGCTGCATCCAGGCATTGTTTATGTATGCCACAATCTTTTCATAGGTTAGTGAGCAAGAGACTCCCTTCTCCCTCAGTCTGTTTTATTTTCCTGTTGTACATTAGCTAATGGTGCTCAGTCCTTCTGCAGCTACTGAAGAGCAGCAGGCCAGCAGGCTGCAGTATTGCTCTGCATGTGCAGTTTCTGCAGCTGTTAATCCGTCTGCACATATGCTCCTACCTGAGAATTTCAAAGCAGGGGCGCCATTTCAGATTTTGTGTGTGTGTGTGTGTAGCGGGCTCTTACCTTCTCAACAGTGTGTGTGTGTGTGTGTGTGTGTGTGTGTGTGTGTGTGTGTAGGGGGCTCTTACCTTCTCAACAGGGATGTCTGTTTTCTAGCAATATCAGTACTGGGAAAGGAGAAAACTTTAGACAGTTCCTCACGCTCATGTATGTGAACCTGAATTCTCTCTGTTCTCCAGGAGAGACCTCGAGAAGGAGCCTTGCTGCAAGAAAGCCATGGGGGTCTCTGAGATTGCCTCTGCCCTGCAGCCCTTTCCTACCTTGCCGTTATCAGAGGCTCACTGTGAGGTCACCGCCTCCCGAGCTACTTTGACCAATAAGCTGAGGTCCTGCAAAAGGTCCTTGTGATGTCACTGCCACACCCAGGTCTGCCCTGCAGGGCTAATGTCCAGGCTCTGGTCAGCCCCTTTGGATGTTTGAGCAGCTCCCCCTGTATCACCCCAATCACTCATTGTTTGTTCTGGGGATCAAGCAGGCTACACATGAAGAAAATATCAGTGACTGCTCAACGTACCACACTCAGTTTTTCATAGATTTGTTGACTTTAAGGCCAGAAGAGACCGTTAGCTCATCTAATCTGACCCCCCCTGCCAGGGCCGGCTCCAGGCACCAGGCAACCAAGCACATGCTTGGGGCGGCACCTGGTAAGGGGCGGCGGGGGGAGCGTGGCGCGGCATTCCGCGGGGGGGGGCACTCCGGCGGCGCGG